CACAATTTAACCAAAAGATTCCAATGAGGCAAATTGGGGAAGCACATGCTTCAAAACAGGATGAGGTAAATGACCAAGTCTATTATGCCATCGCATTAACAGATCTTTATTGACATTACTATTCCTAACACTAGATTGATTTGCAACATAATAAGAAGTTGGCCTCGTGTTCAGCAAATACAAGCCATTGTCATCACGTCCACTTCAAATCGTCTTTCTCGTGTCTAAGTTTTGAAACACACAGTGAGTAGATTTGGGGAGGATTTTGGCAGATGGTGTTCCCAGGTGGTGTTGGTGTTTAGAAATTCATTCGGAAGGGTTGGGATGAATTTTCTAAACACATCAGGTTTCGAGTTAGGGATGGTAGCTGGATTCGATTTTGGGAGGATATTTGGTGTGATGAGCGTCCTCTTGCCCTTTTGTTTCCAGACTCTTCAGGATTGCCATGGACAAACATGCTTTGGTGTTTAACTACTATCACCTTGATAGTGGGAGAACGTCTTGGGATGTGCATTTTGTGAGGAACTTTCAGGATTTGGGAGATTGAGGAGGCTATTGGCTTTTTAGAGTTATTGTATCACCAGGATAGGATATTGTGGACGGAATTCCTGATTCTGTGGTGTGGATTCCATCTCCCCAAGGTTGCTTTGAGGTTCGATCTTTCTTTGGGTGTCTTGCAGAGGCTCCAGGGGAAGCATTCCCGTGGAATGCTATTTGGCATTCTAGGGCTCCTTTCAAAGTGGCTTTCTTTACTTGGACATCGGTTTTGGGGAAGATCTTGAGCCAGGATAATCTTAAGAGGAAGAGACATGTTGTGGTCAATTGTTGTTGCATGTGATTGAGAAATCAGGAAATAGTTTATCATCTTCTTTTGGATTGCCAAGTTCCTTGGGACTGTTGGACTTTGATGTTGACTTTGTTTGGGGTTCAGTGGGCTATGCCCAGGTCTTCCAGAGGTTTGGTTGAGGCTTGGAGAGGTTATATAGTGGGGGCCAAGCTTGCGACTTCTGGAAGGTCACACCTCTATGTGTTTGGTGATGCTTTTGGCTTGAAAGAAATAGATGATCTTTTGAAGGAAAGGAGACCCCTATTGGCGCGCTAAAATTCTCCATTACTAATACTCTTTTTTGTTAGGTTTTTGGGAGAAATTGTAAATCCATGGATGAGATTGTTGATTTTGTGGACTCTTTGAGAGTTTAAAGGCCCTATTAGGTCTTATTGTTTTGTGGGATGTGTTCCCCTTCTGAACGCTTTTCAATATATATTTACTTATAAAAAAAAAAAAAAATGGATGTTATTGGTAAACTCTTGGACATGAAGAACAGAGGATAAGGTAAAGATTAGGAGAGACAGAAACAGTGCCCTTCCCCGCAAAGGAGGTGAAGGTGCCATCAACCACCCTAACCTTATCCTTACCAGAACATAAATTATACGAAGAAAAATCAGATGTCATACTAGTCATGTGATCAGTGGCTCCTGAATCAATAATTCAAGGTGGTCCACCAGATAATGTGGAAACCTGATGTGCTGAATGAGAGGTACCTGTCTTAGCGAAGTTAAGAGGTGGAAATGGAGGCATTTATGAAAATACCTCAATCAATATACCTTTTAAGTCACTAGACCTTTTTAATGTATAAAGATTGAATCTTTGAAAGAAAATGAGAGTTTTTGAGTTAAACTTATGATGTTCCAAAATATTCTCATCAACAATGAAGAAAAAGCTCTAGAAAGCAACAAAGTAGACCATACCAGAATTGTGAACGATAAAGAAAAAGCCGATATTGCAGAACTATGTGAACATGAAAAAAACACCGATCGAGACTGCAATCGATCAAAAACAGGTCCGAAACCCTTCACACCCAGTAAGGTTTATACAAACTTGCCCTATGGTTCCAATTACACACCTAGAGCTTTACAAACCATGCTCTGATACCATGTTGACTTTAAAAAATAATCAAATTAAGAGTCAAGTATAAGAAGAAGAAGAAAAAGAGAAGAAAGAGGATGAGAGAAAAAGAGAGAGATGGGGAAAGAGAGACAGAATGAAAAAATACTTTCATCATTCAACCACATTCTATTTATACTAACAAGTTTCAAAAATTACATATAAGCACCCAACATTCTATAAGTAATAACAAATAAGCCCCTGACAACAAAGGTATATATGTGTATGAAAAGAGGGGAAAAATCAAAACAGGCAGGTGCCATGTGGCACCTCCCCTAGCCAAAACGAATGGTGTCCCAATTTGGGACACTAAGTTCTTAAAGTACGCAGGTGCCACACCTTTTTGGGCGAGTACCACACATGGGACTCACCCATACAAAATAATGGGCAAGTGCCATCTGCTTGCCCACTTGTACATACAAAATAATGTGCAAGTGTCATGTACTTGGCCACTCGCCCATACATCGCCCACTTTCCCATACAAAATAATGGGCAACTGCCCACTCTCCACTTGCCCATACAAATAATGGGCTACTGCCATCCACTTGTCCACTTGCTCACTTGCCTATACAAAACTAACGGCCAAGTGTAATCCGCTTGCCCATTTGTCCATACAAAATAATGGACAAGTGACATCCGCTTACCCACTTGCCCATACAAAATAATGGGCAAGTGTTCGTTTGCCCACTTGTCCATAGAAAATAATAGGCAAGTGTCATTGCTCACTTCCATACAAAATAATGGGCAAGTGCACTCTCCCATACAAAAATAATGGCAAGTACCACTTGCCCACTTAAAGTGGCGAGTGCCACATGACACCCGCCCATGAACCCCTTAGAGCTTAAAGTGAGCGGGTGTCATGTGGCACCCACCTAGGTATCCCATTTTGGCGTATGACACCACTTTTAATAGAAGAGCAGACGGTGCTCGCTCGGGCACCTGGAGAAGGTATAAGCTTAATATGGATAGGCAAACTAGATTGCATAGGCAAACACCCACCCAGGATGGAAAGAAGGTAATGCAATCAGCGTTGAGTTTAGGCTTAGCAAAACCTAGGGTATCGGGAGAACCACTGGCAGATCTATGTTGGATGGGATAGGACTATGGGTTATGGCATGCTAAATATTAACGGCACATGTCACTGGGGCGCGTGATCAAATCATATAGTCCGAGGTTGCCAACTACCAGGAAACACAAGGAATGAGGCGATACAGGCCCAATATGGTAGTTGTAATGGCAAGGGTAATACCAGGAGGTGTATGTGACCCTTGGCACTAGCATTTGCACGCAAAGTGTCCGTACTCGGGAGCTCTAAGTATGGTGCACACCACTCATGAGGAGAGCGGGCGGGGAAAGGGGTTCTTGAGGCATGGCGGATTGAACAAGGGGCTGCTCAGGCGAAGTGGAAGCGGGTCCTTGATCCGCGACTCAGGTAGATGAGTCACTCACGTCTTGGCCAGGAGAATAAATGAGGGACGTGGCATTTTAATACGCTGTCACATGGCAGATGCCTGTACACTGAAACGTGCTTGACATGTGCCAAGAGCTCGATAAATAGCACTGCAGTGACGTGACGGGCTCATTCAGAACTTACAACCTGGAGACTCTGCCACTCTCCCTACTTGCTCATTTATTCCTTTGCCTGAGTTCTCTCCCCTACCCTCACATCCCTTCTTTTCCTTTCTACACCTTAAGTCATCCTTGCAAATACCTCACTTCCAGGACCTTTATATTCCTACACTACTCAATCTTAAAAATCTTAATGGATTACTGTGGTTACTCTGATTCCTATGCTACACAATTCTGCAGTATGGTGCCTTGTGCAGCTGGTATTACCTTTAAAAATTGCTTCTGCTATCAATATTGACCGCTAGATTTATGCAGTCTCAATGCTCTGGTTTTGGTTTTTCCTATGATAAGGCAGTTCTGGAATCATACTACTAGGTAAGCTGACCATGTTACCAGATAGACTCGTGTTTGATGAACTTTAGTATTATTATGGATATGTGGTTACTCATGTTACCTGCAAACATTTGCAGGAATGGGATTTTGTTTTGATGCTGGTGCAGTGTTCATCTTCTGCAGATTTTCATACGCCACAGTGGTAACAGCGATGCTAAAGGGATTCATATTTACTGCACTAGGATGCTGGAGTTTTACACTTGCTATAAGTGGACTGTTTGTTTTCCTTTCTGTTAGTCAGTACAGATGTGAAATGTTTTTGTGCTTTGATTATTTGGTTTTGGCCCATTTCCGGTTCCTTTTTCTCTGGTGGCATTGAGGGCTCCATAGATTTAATAGTTTCAAGGTGTATGCCCCTTTTGTTTGATGTATTGTTGGCCTTTGTGCCTTTTTCTCAATGAAAGCATACTTCTGAAGAAAAATAATGATCCATGATAGAGCCAATGGGCAAAACAAGCAAGCAGTAGAAACAAAAAATTGTTTCATTGTATATGATTTTTTTATGTACTACACAGACATCCATGTCCCATTCAGGACAAGAACGATGCGTCTGTATTCAATCTATGTTTTGATTAGGGAAGTCCTTTGAACAAGGTAGTTCAAACTATGTGCCATTCTACTTAACTAAGTTTATATAATAGTTCACCAATAATCAGATCAATTAATTTTTTGCATAAGTTTATCAATCAATGGTTCCGGGCCTTTACAGGCCGAAAAATTAACATTTAAGGTCTGAAAGGATCAAGGAACCCTGTTGCTCTAAACATCTTTTAGTATAATTATGAGAAATACCATCTGAAGAACGAAGTCAATAAAATTATGGAAAATGGCATGCTTGGGTAAAAGAACCTCATAAGTATACCACAACCATTACAATCGTTCTGGTTATACATAATTAGGCATAATGGAAATTTAAAATTCTATCACTGTTTATTAACAATGGATGGGGATATTCATGCCATAAACCATTCCCAAGTAGTCTAACAGTTTCTCAATATTTCACATCTATTTTGACCAAATCAAGCTATTTAACTTTAGGAGTTGGATAGAAAAAGAAAAACAAAAGAACTATTTGAGAGATATGGAAGCAAACCAATTGTCCTCCAGAAGAATGTCCATCTTCGGAAAAAGTTCCATGCGAGCCTCCCCAGCCCCATGTGTAAATATTGCCTTCTGGAAGCAGCAATTCAATGCAGGTCATTAGACTAGAATAATAACAAAGAAATATTTATATCACTTTAGAAGTAAGTTTCTTCCCCGCCCCCGGGCGAAAGGTAACAATAGAAGTTACATCACAAGGGTAAAACAATGGTTATGTATCATTTCACCTATTCATTTCAACAAAACGGACATGTTACTAAAATAAATTGAAAAGTTGTTAGCAGAGAAACAAAATAAAATAAAATCATGGAGGTTGACTATGGAAGGAGTCCTTTTAGACATGCCCAGATTGAAGAGAGGAAATAAAGTTCTCTCTCTCTCTCTCTCTCTGCCTGTCTTTCTCTCCCCCCCCCCCCCCCCCCCCCCTTCCTCTCCCTCTCTCTCTCTCTCTCTCTCTCTCTGCTTTATCAGGATTGAATTACTGGACAGGACATTCAAAATGAAATTGTCACTTTTGACTCGCATATTTATGAAGAGAGGAGAATTTAGCCCCACAAGGACCTCAGCAAATAGAAGAAGGCCTTAACATCCCCGAGGATCCTAACATCCACAAGATGTATAGCAGTGACGGGAGGAAGGAGTGCAGTAGATGAGGGGCACAAGTGATCAAAGAAAATTCAAGGAAATAAGTAAATGAGGAAGACTATTAAATAGTAACATTTTATGGGTTAAGTTGGATGGCAATTATGTACTTCCACTATAAATTCATTGTAATTACATAAAAAAAGAGGAGATATCCCATTATGGGTACTGACTCTATCACACTCCTCATATGTACTCTCATTCTGTTCAGTATCTAGTGGTCGGTACAGTTGCAATAAATGTGGAGTATGGCTGGCTATGAAGCATGGACACTGAGACAAGATACAGAAGATACACAGAAAAAATAAAAACTAGAAAAGTAGGGTAAGGACATGACAATGGCACACCAAAGGAATGTAATCTTATATATACAATTATAATACATTTATATATAACAAAACTGAGGATGGGCATTGGCACAACAGCAGGTTAATCCATTGCAACTTGGAGGTCATGGGTTCAATAAAGGAAACAACCTCTCTACATGTGGAGCTAAGGTTGTATACATCTCACCCTCCCTAGACACCACAATGGTGAGAGCGTCATGGACAAGGCTGCTTCTTTATATATAACAAAACTACTTTATAGTAAGCTAATATAATATTCTATTGTTACAACATAAAATTTGTAGCTGATGAATCAAGATAACTGATCTCAATGTAATGACCCTGTCATTTTCCTTCCTTTTTTCCAGCATTTTTCTTTTTCGTGCAACCTTAGGGTTTGGAGACCCGAGGTAGGGTTTTGAGTTCGGTTTTGTGCTCGGAATTGATTTCCGACTCCATGTGAATTCATCTCATTTGATTTTCATGAAATGCATAGCTTTACTTTTGTAGAAAAGCACGCTAGCTTGTCTTTTTACCTTGTAGGGGTATGGATGCATAGTTTCTTCGGAAACATTTTCACACTTTTGGGTGTTTTGTGTAATTATGCTTTTGAAATTATTTTTGTCTTGAGAACCTTTTTGCAATTTATTTTGGAAGATATTTTGGAGAAGGACCATTTTGCATTTTATGGAAAGTGTGACAAGTGTCACACTCTCATGGAGCCACTTGTTGACTTTGTGGTGGAGACACTTGGAAGCCTTATTGGATGACAAGTGTTGGGTGAGGACTCACCCACTTGTTGGCCTTTGGTTGGTGCACTTGCTGACTTAAGATTGTGACAAGTGTAGGCATGTGATTAAACCTTGTAAAGAGGCTTAGGATTGTGACAAGTGTTAGCTTAGGATTTCATCTTGTGAGGAGGCCTAGATTAGTGACAAGTGGAGGGTGTGGATGTGTGTGCGTGTGAGAGAGGTTGTGTTGGTGTGTGTGTGTGTTTAGCTAACAAAGCCAAAGTTAGGGAATAGATGTGATTTTCCACTTAGCCACCATTGTTGGAAGCTTGAACCCTAGCCTCCATTCTCTTGTTTTGACCCCCTTTCCACTCACCTTTGGGCTTAAGTCTTAGAAGACAAAAGCTTCCCCTCTTCCTCCTCTACAACAGTTTTGCATAGTTTTACATTTTGCCTTTGTTTGCCTTGGATTTTAGAGGAAGAATCCTTTAGTGAGGTAGAGGTTGTAGTATGTTTATCCTCTTTGTGTTTTAATTGAATTTGAAGTTTTATACATATTGTATACATGCTTGTTGTGTTATAGGATTGCATTTAGATAATGATTCTATATACTTGACTTAAGTTTTGAGGATTCAAGCATGTGTAGCTTATATATATATCTTATATAAAGTGTATTGTCAATTTAGTTGATTACTAATTCTAGAGATTTATCTTGTTGTGATGATGAACTCTTGTAGAATATCACTAATGTTTACCTTGGGAGCTTATTACTAGATTGTGGTATATTCAGTATTTGTGGCTTACATGATGGTAACTTGATTTAGTTGACATTTAATATACCATTTTATGTGTAGCAAATCGCACATTGAAGATTTGACATTTCAAATGCCATCGTAGACATGAAACCCTAGGACATGGTTCGTGTTTTCACCCTACTGGTGCATTGTGCATGGAAGGTGGTTTCGTGCATTGTTATTTGAGTATGAGTTCTGAACTTGTTGATTTTGGAAAGCCTGTGAGGACATATTTTATGTGATGGCTAAAGTTTGGCTTTAGTGCGGGAGGTATGAGTTCCCCACAAATGTGCGCACCAGGTAGTACCTTGTGGGTTGTAATGGCCCGGAACAACTTGTAAGGTCTTGACTAAAACCGAGATCACATGTCCTAGTTTTTCCTGTTTGATTTCACATTCAATTCCAAGTTGTTAATCGTTAATTACTTGTAGCTGTGATTTGATGCTAGTGGTTTCGATATTGCTTAGTATACTTGTGCATTGTGTATTTCATATCAATTGCCTAATGTAGCTTGAGATGACCCTTTAGTTCACCTTGCAACTTAGACGTTAGGTGGAATGATCCCTCGTATTCGTCTATATTGAACTTGCAAGACATTTAAAACTTTAGGGTATACGTATGCTCTTCTTCCTACGAGTAACTTGGTTGCTCACCCTAGTTGATTGGGCCTTTTTCAGGTAAAGAAGTTCCTTTCATGGATGGTTAAAGCCCTTGACTTCTTTTTGGATATTGTGCCACGGACACACTCTTTTGTTCACATGTAAAATGTTTAGCATGTTTGTTTGTAGTTTTTTTGCAACTATGGATGTATGGTTTCCACTTTTGGATGTTTGACATGTAATGAGGCCGCGAGCCATTGTAACACGTTTTAATATGTATTTAACATTTGTTGATATGTTCACATACTCATACTTCTTTAAATTTCAGTTTTTGACTTATGTATGAGGGTAAAATGAGACTTAAGAGGTACCTTGCATTTTCTGGTGCATAGCTGAATGTTTAACAGTTTCTCGAGCTATTTCGGTCAACCGAAGTATCATTTTGGACAGCCGGTAGCTATTTGGAATAGTGTGAGGCCAATTCCAGTAGCCTTCTTTCTTTTTGAGCCACAACCGGTCGACCGGTTTGTCATTTCGAACGACCGGAGTGTGTTCTCCTTTTTGGCTCATTTCAGTCGACCGAAACGACATTTCGGACAACCAAAATGCTGCTGTCTGTTGACCTTGTTTGGTTGATTTGACTTGGCATGTCAATGCCATGTTGATGCATATGTTTTGCATTTTTGACCTTGTATGAGTCGTTTTATGACGAACATGGTCTAGTTTGAACTAGATCATGCCTTGTTGAGTGTCATTGGCGTCCGAAGGCACCATTTGACCATTTTGTTTTAGCTTCCGAAGTTTGGATCCGTTATCGGGTCACTTTTCAGGTTGGGTTACTCGTTGACGCACCGGGTTTTGTAAAACTTGGGCCGTCACACTCACTCAGTTGTATAGAATAAGACAACGATAAGGATACAATATATGTATGTGCATGTATGTGTGTGTGAGTAACTAAGGTTAAATTTATCTAATTTTTCTCCCGCCAACAGTTGGCAAGTGTCTGAAATTGAGCGTCTGTGAAAGCGATCAGAGCGGCAGATCAGTTATATTCCTCACACATGGTAATAGAAGGAACAAGTCATTTGATAACTGTGAGAAGAAAATTATCGTGAGGTGATTGCGCAGATGTTGATCAATGTTGCTGGTAATTCCTAAGGCAATGGAGCTGGAGGGCACTAAGCATTAGAGGTAAACCAACGAAAAGTTTATTTTGTATTCACTGAAATTGGCAACTAATGGAGAGCAGTTTCGAAGGCAATGAAATCGTTGTACTCTTTCTCTACATAGTGGATTGTTCCTCTGAGATGGCATAGTTTCCGTAGTTTTTCGTCGCTGCAGTTTTTCACGTAAGTTGTAATCTCTTCTATGTTTCTCACTTTTATTTTGTTTTCTTAATTATTGCTTTGAACTTAACTAGAATCAGATGAAATTAAAAAGAAGCAAAATAGCAAACTAAGGTCATCCTAACTGAGACAATTTAAGACCAATTCCGTATTGTGCAATTCTCAAAAGTATTTTTGCATTATTTTGTTTGATGATTTGATTATAAATATGTCGCCAATTTTGAGCTTTGAATTAAAGTATATTTGTATGTCATTTGAGAATTGACAACATGATGAGGAATTACTCATAAATGTCTGAGTGAGAATGCTAATTAGAGGATTAATGTTAAAGAGATACTTGATTACATATGACCTTAATGTTGACTAATAAAATATTAAACCTGATTAAGATTGTGGTAGAGAATTTAGACAAAAATGAAATTTGTTGAAAGAGAGAGAGAGAAAGAGAATATATGAAAACGTATATCTTATTGAGTAAGTAATACGATAATACAATAGTGTTTATATAGGAAAACAAGTAAACCCTATACACAGTAATTCTATATATGGTAATGAGGGGTAGGCGACAACTCATACAATACTAACTGTACATTTGTGACAACTCATACAATACTGTACAATACTCCCCCTCAAG